TGTTCGGCGGCTGCATCTGCGTGCCCTCAGATGAGGACATCATGGGCGACATCAGCGCCTTCATGAAGACCGCCCAAGTCAACTTTGCCAACATCACGCCCTCGGTCGCCTACACGCTCAAGGAGAACGAACTCCCCGATTTCAAGATGCTGTTGCTGTCGGGAGAAGCCCCCGACCAGGCTCTCGTGGACAAATGGGCCAACAGCAACACCGGCGTGCAGGTCATGAACGGATACGGGCCCAGCGAGTGCTCCGTCAAGTGCGCCATCAACACTAATCTGACCCGCGAGGCGCCGAGGAACATTGGCCACAGCGCGGGAACCAGCATCTGGGTTCTTAGGCCAGGCAACAACGACCGGCTGACACCTCTGGGCGGCGTGGGCGAGCTCGTCATTGAGAGTCCGCACTTGTCTTCGACGGGGTACATGAACCGCCCCGAGGCCAACGACAAGTTCATGGAGAGCCCGACTTGGCTACGCGAGTTCCGCGACAGCCACGTCACGCGCATGTACAAGACCGGCGATCTGGTGCGGTACATGGAGGACGGCAGCATCTTGTACATTGGGCGGGGCGACATGCAGCTGAAACTCCACGGCCAGCGTCTCGAGGCCGAGGAAACAAGGCAACGCATCCAGGAAGCCCTGGCTAGCAACGGTCAGCACCAGCTGCAGGTAATCGTCGACATTGCACGCTTCAAGGGTCAAGATTCTGACGTGTTGGTGGCTTACCTCGCTCAAAAAGGCGAGTCGTCGCACCGTGGAGGCGAGATGGACATGGACGAGGCATTGCAGCAGCACCTGGCCGACATGAAAGAGCACATCGTCCGCGAGATCGGCACCGCTCTGCCCAAGTACATGATCCCTTCCGTCTTCCTGGCATTGGCCAACATCCCCGTCACATCAAACGGCAAGGCAGACCGGCGCGCTCTCAAATCCTTCGCGGCACGAACCCGTCTCGGCCCTCAATTCCTCTCTTCTTCGGGAGAGGAAACCATCACCCCACCGACGACCGAGACCGAGAAAGTGCTGCACAATCTCTGGCAGGAACTCCTCGGCCTCGACGGGGACAGATTCGGCGCATCCTCCAACTTCTTCGAGCTTGGCGGTAGTTCTCTCGCAGCCATCAAACTAGCCTCTGCAGCCCGCGATCTAGGCCATAACCTCTCCGCCCAAATCATTTTCAAGAACCCCGTCTTGTCGGCTATGGCTTCGCAAATGACACCCCTGCGCGAGACCAACAAAACCACCGCCGGCCCGGCCCGGTTCACTCTGCTGTCCAAGATCGACCGCACAGTGCACCAACTCAAGAAGACCCTCGAGACTTATAAGATCGACGTGGAGGAAGAAGTAGAAGACGCGTACCCGCTTACAAGACAACAGCGGCGATACATGGAGGGCGAGATGGTGTCCCCCGGCGGAACCACCCACCGCCATATCATGCAGCTGCCCTCCAATATCGACTCGGTCAGACTGGAGAATGCTCTTTACCGCGTTGTCAGTGCAAACGCCATTTTACGCACGAGGATCATCTCTGCCTCGTCGCAGCTCGTGCAGGTGGTGCTGAAGAACGACGTTAACCCAATCCGCCGCGTTGATTCTCTGTCATTGCTGGCGGACGCAGATAGGAAGGTATCCTGGGGGCTGGGACAGCCCCTCTCCCGCTTCAGTATTGTTGACGGTGGCGAAGGGAAATACCTGGTGTGGTCGTCCGCCCACGTCGTCTTTGACGGGTGGTGCCGGAGACTTTTGCTGCAGGATATCGACTATGCCTACCACCATGACAGCAACCCGTCTGCCCGACCGCAGTACAATACATTCATCGAATTTGTGTACTCCTCTTCCTCGTCCGTTGCTGACGAGGAGGAGGGAAGTGTTGTTCGGGATCTCGAACAGAACCACGCAAAATTCTTCCGGTACTTTAGCCCGAATGAGATTTTGACCAAAGTCCCAGGTATCACGCACACTTTGTCTCTGGCCATCGATTTTCCGGCGGGTGCGGCCTTGCCAGCGGGGTTGAGCTATCCAACGACTATGTTAACCGCCTGGGCTATTGCGGCCTCTGATGTGGAGAGTGGACATGACAGCCAGCCGTTCCTGTTTAATTTGTTGTTAGGAGGGCGAGACGCGAATCTAACGGGTGTGGATAAGGTGCTAGGCCCGGTGAGCAGTACTGCTCCTTTCGCTACCTCCATTTCACCGTCATCGACATTCCGGGAGAACATGCAGGCCATCCAGACGGCTGTGGATCAAGCTGCCAGCTTACAGCATGTGGTTCGGTTCGGAACTGGACCAGCAGGTGACAAACTACGGGAGTTATTGGCGGCCGTCCCGGTGGTGGTTGTGCACCCCGCGGAGGATTACGAAGAGGCCAAGACGGAGTATAGTCTGGGATTGGTGAGAGACAAAGTAGAGACGGTGACGAGGCTGGTTGATGCGATGTTTATGAACTTCTGCTTGAAGTACAACGGTGAACAGAAAATTGGCGGCGTGGAGCTGATCATGACGGTTGATGAGAGGTTTTTTGCGGTCGAGAGGGGGGTTAGGTATTTTGGGGCTATTGAGAGGGTGTTGAAGGGGGTTTTAAAGGCCGACGGTGCAAAGTTGGATGGGGTTGTTGGTGAGTTGGCTGGCGCTGGTGCTGGTAATGGTGATGGTAGTGAGACCAATAAGGTGGTTGTTAGTGAGGTTGTGGTTTGATGGTGAGCTTAACAAGTCGGCTGGAGTCTTCAGAAAGGGTGCTTTAGGAAGATAGAGGAAGGAGTGGCCGCATGTTTGGGTAACGTATATTTTGGCGTAGTATCCTACGGATTTCTGGCTTTTATTTTGTTCTCGTGTTTTCTTTGTTTATATAAGACCTTTGCTTTGTATTTTGATCGCAATTCATCACCACAAAAGTGTCCCTCGAACTGTGAATCAGCCGCTGCGAATTTACTTGGTGCGCTGAATGCTCTTGTCTCTCCTTGTGCTCTGATACTGTTGCATATATCCAGCCAAAACCAGGGCGTATCTATGGAAAGAGCCGAAGGAAGTGCAAAACTTTTCAATACAAAAGCTATCAGATGCTACAAATCACCAACTTTTGCGCTCAACCCAACCCCCTTTTCCACTTCCCACACCAACCTCTCCACGTCCCCCCGTTCACCTCGCAAAAGAAACTCAGCAAAGGGTAAAAGAGGAGGGTCCAGTATAAGACTTGGCCGTCCAATCTTCACCAGGCGTGATGATGGCCAGGTTGACCGCAGATCCGACCACATGGGCATCGCTCAGCACGATGCGGTAGATATCAGTTGCCCTGTTGATGTGGAAGTAGACAGCAGGATCGCTGCTGTCGAAGAAGCCAGTGTTTTTGGGGATCGTCGACCCGGCGGTCGTGTGCGTGAAGGTAACGGCTACATTCTCTGGCAGGATGACGGCGCGAGCGGTGTAGCTGTGTACCCCGGTTGTCAGTCGAGAATCGGGGGCAGTGAGCTTGATTGCATTCAACTTACGAGCATGAAGAGGCGCTGCAGGAAACAGAGAACTTGGTGACCTCGGCGCTGGTGGCTCTCGCGGCGTGCTTGGCTCCAGCGTCCAGGTCGGCAGGAGCGGCAGAGGTGAGGCCAAAGAGGCCGAGAACAAGGGTGAGGATGGTGAACTTCATTTTTTTCTTTTGATGTGATGCTAGTGTGAAAGTTGGGATAATCCAAAAATCGTTCAGAAAATAATTCTCTTATCAGGAACTTTTGTCTCTTTAAGCGTTCGAGACTGACTGAAGGCGGGAAGGCATGCGTGATTGCAGTGGTGGTGAATATTCAGGCTGAAGTCTCCCGAGGACACCTTGTGGCTTCTATAAACGAGATTTTCGCCACATTGAAGCTCCGTGGCCATTTTTGACAGGAGCTTTATTTAATCATCTGCAGCTGTCGGCGCAAACCCCGGTGGTGGTCTCGTCTTCCTGTTATGTTATAGGTTAAATGACGGGATTGACAGAACCGACAGTGGTTCAGGTAGGAGAGTGGATAGCTTATTGTCTCGGGAAACGAACTACAGAAGTCAGGTAGCATGGAAAGGATGAGGCCATTGCCGAATATAAGAGCGCTGAATACGACAGTCAGCCAGGTGTTCAACCGTCCTCTTGCTCATGCATAGGTACCTTACCTAGGTTACCTGCACATACGACGTGGTGCGTGTACTTATGGCGACTGCAAGGGAGAAAGCCACCGCACTTACCAGATCCAAAAAGAAAACTCACTTGGCCTGGGACTACCAAGTCCCGTTGTTACATTGAACGACAGTTTCTTCCTGCATGTAGGGTGCATGGCTGCTCAGAGCCGCACCAGGCACCGTCGGCCAAATATGCCATCCACCTATCTTAAAAACCTCGCCAGCATGTTTATGAAGGTGAGGTTGAAATTAGAATCTTTGTGTAAGGACCCTGAAAGACGACTCCCTGGTCCTCGCCTCGTCCCGTCTTCACTGCCAAAGCTTGTCTCATGCAATATACTTGGCCATCTAGAACCGCTCCGCATATTAGGCCAAGCCTGCAAGTTATCGGCTAACAAAATCTTTTGTCCCGAGCAATGGAGTGTAAAGATCATGCTCTGGTATGAGATTTGCAACGAAATAAATTGTATATGCTAAAAATAAGACCTTCAGCATGTCATAAATTGCCACCAATGTCATGATTTTCTAGAGATCAACACTCTTGACGCGGAACTAGCCGGAGTGCGAGATAAGCTCGAGTGATAGGAGTGCCGACTTTGCGGACAGCTACTGAACTACCTAAATAATGGTAGAAATCGCGGGTGCTGATGATACTGGCGATGACAGCCGCCGACATAGATAGTGAACTTGGGCAGGTTTCAGGTACTACGGTACCTAGCAACTTATACATCTCTAATCACATGCTCAAAGCTTGAGTTTGAAGGATGGCATTAAAAATTACTTCGACTTTGTGGTGGGGGAAAGAGCAGGGGGGCGAGTCAGGGATATGCATGATAAGAGGCAAAAAGTGCAAAAGATTGGACAATATGGGAATTGAACCCATGACCTTTCACATTGGCGATCTTTGCAGAATGCGAAGCGAAAATCATACCCCTAGACCAATTGCCCTTAGGAATTGTTGGAATCCTTTCCAAGTTTGGGCTCTATCATGGTACAATTTTGCGGTTTTGCGTAGGGGAGGGCAGTGGAGGGAGAACTTGGCAAACCTGGCAGATAAGAAGCACAAGCGGGAGAGCAACGTTCATTGCAATAAATATTCGTTACCCTCCCTAGGTTCATAATTCTAAGAGTACTTATGAAACCAATTTCGAACGCCGTTTTACCACCATTTTCTCCAACTCTCAAATAATATCACCGTGATGTTGACCGCCCTCCACGCCAGCCCCTGTTAAGATTTCAGGGGCGCCAGCCCACAACCTTAACGAACCCCGAATAAGCTTATCTCCTTCCCCCGCCCTAGCCCTTGCATTCAACAGAACCCTTACTATTCGTATCAACCCTTGACCCTCCGCCACGTGTTGCATCGCAAACGCGCAGTCGTCAGACTCGCTGCAACTGGAGCGGACCGGCATTGGTTTTAAAGGCTTGATAAATATCACCGTCGCAGCGAAGAATGGCGTAAGCTAGAAGGAGATCAGCGTCTTCTTCGCCAATCTTGGAAGTCGGCATCCGTCTTGGGGGTTGGGGCTTGAGGTGACCCCTGGCTCTTTCGTTACGGTAGTGCAGCTCGCTAAGCACGCTAGCACACCACCCGGGCGCACGTGGGACTGTGATGTTTCCTTTTTGGACAGGCGCTGTTCTGGGTACGGAGCTTGTTCCGGTGGGATGATGTATCGTTGGTCGGGGGAGGATGAGTTTGAAGACGAGGAATTGTTGGTTCTAATCAGAGATACCCAAGAGGAAGACTGGGTATTTTGCCATGTGGGAAGTGGCTACAGGAGACGCACCTTGTGGTGGGCGGGCAGCAAGATGGAGATTGAGAGTGGCAAAATGCAGGGCAGTGTTGGCTGTAATCTTCGATCTCATCAGGTAGGTACTGAACATTGAGATGCAGCGAATCAAAGAATAAACTGCCGTTGCTCTTCAGGGGAACGTTTTTAATGATCGTACCTATCTACATGACATTACTATATGCTAAACAGAAAAACATGCGCCGGATTCCAGTCAGAGTTCATTATCGTCCTCTCATTATCGTCCTCTCATAATCTGCATTGATTAGGCGGCGGGGTTGTAGAAGTTGAAGCGACGGCTGACGTCGTACTTGTTCTTCAACTGGAGGAGCCTGGAAGTTCTCCAGCTCTCATGACCGTACAACTCCTGCTTGCTCTCATCACCATAAGCATAGTTGACGTAGGTGTGCTTCTGAGTGCGGCCGCTGCCGGCGTGCAGGATGTTGCGGAGCTGGTTGCCGAAGGCCTTGGCCTGGGCATCCAGGGCAGCGCTGCCGGGAGTGTACTGCACAAGAGCAGCAGTGAGGAGATTGTCCTGGCGGAAGGCGAAAGCGGCCGAGGCAGCGTTGACAGCCTTGACACCCTGCATGGAGTAACCCTCGAACATGAAGAGGGAGTTGGCAAAGGGAGAGGAGGAGTTGGTGCCCTCCTTGAAGGCGGCATAGACATCAGCCATGGCGGAGGGGTTGTACTGGGGGAGGTAGAGAGGGAAGCGGGGGTTGGCGGCGCCGGTCTTCTGGCACGGGGGGCCATCAAGGGAGATGCCGACCCAGGCGGAAACAGCCTTGTAATCTCCAGTGTTGTGGGTGACGGAGATGGGGCCAAGGGCGATGAAGGGAGCAGTGTAGGCAGTGTCAACAGCGGTGACACCCTCCTGAATGATGTAGAACTCAATGACAGGGCCAGTGGGGTCAATGGGGGGGATGTTCATCCAGTAGGACCAGTTGATGATTTCAACGGGCTGAGAGCCATTCTGGAGGAGGTGGTCGTTGGCGGCCTGGTAGAGAGCCTCAACCTTGTCACCGGTGTACATCAGGGTGGTGATGGCCCAATTGGTCTTGACAACGGGGTAGACCTTGATGGTGACAGAGGTGACGATACCGAAGTTGTGGCCGGCGCCCTTGACGGCCCACCAGAGATCAGAGTTGGAGTTGATCGTGCGGAGCTGGCCATCGGCAGTGACGATCTTGGCGGAGATCCATTGATCGGCGATGAGGCCGTGGTGGCCCTGGAGCCAGCCGTGACCACCACCAAGGGCAGGGCCCATGTAGCTGACGCACTCGCAAGTACCAGTGACAGTCTGCTTGCCGTTGGCCCAAAGGTGGTCGATGACGACCTTGGAGTTGGTGCCGCCAAGGACAGTAGCACTCTGTCCGTTGGACGCGATGGTAACGCCAGACAACTTCTTCAAGTCGATGGAGATACCCCAGGTCATCTGGCCCAAGGTAGTAGTGGCACCGTGGCGTCCATTGTAGGCCAAGAAAGGAATATTGCAGTTGTTGGCAATGCGGACCTGTCAACGTGATTAACACTCCATGCAGTGGCAATTTCTCGCTTCAAGGGGGACATACCAGCTTGACTACATCCTGCTCAGTAGCGGGAGCCACGCTGATGGTGACGCTTGGGGCACCGACGTTGGACCATCTTTCGACGGCTTGGTCAAACTCGGTGCTGTTGGGGTAGCGAATCTCGGTTCCGCTCGAGAGATCTTTGGCGAGACGCCAAAAGTCACCAATGCCGCAACCTGGGGCGTGAGACAAGGTGTCAACCGCGAACTCAGCGGGAGTGGGCGTAAAGTCCGGGTCCTCCTGCTCGGGGAGCTGGGCAGACGCGACGGACCAGGTGGCCGCGGCCAAGAGAGTGCTTCTGAGCCAGCGCATTGTGATGACTGGAGAGAGGAATGCAAAAAGCAACGCCGAAAAGACACTCAAAGAACGCGCGATCCCGCGGGTGTTATATGGTGGGCGGGCGGCGGTCCAGGTCGTCGGGTCCAGCCACTGTTTGTTCACTGGACCCAACCCCCCGGTACCAAATAGCCTGCTGCATTCATGCGTGCCATGGCATCTCGGCCACGAGGCACCAGACGAAAACAGGCAACGCCCGAAGCGTTCCCCTTTTCCCTGTACCGACAGTACGACTATTGTCAAAGTTGCATGATCTTGGCAAATATACCCCATCGTCAAATGTTTGGCAAAAACCGAATCTTCTGCTAGCCAACGTCAGCTCAGCTCAGACGGGAATGGTCAATGGAGCGGACGACGATACCCAGAGGGCTCCGATAGTTATTGGACATTTGATTTCATCTTGGAGTGTGGTGGAGTCGGGCCAAAGTGCTAAGCAGGAACCCACTATCTAGCCGAGCCGGGGGGTGTTCCGGGGGTCGTTTGAGTGCCCGGACATTTAATCCACACCATCCGCACGGAAACTCCACTGTCTGCTCGTAACAGTAAAGAACGCCGAGCCGCGGTGTTTCTCGTGAATAATCCGGTCCGGATGTGACGGCGGGCGTCGGTGACGGTTGAGTGCTATCGATCGATGGTGAGCGTGAAATACCTCAAAGGACATCGCGGATTTCTTGAATTCAAACATGCCTGGAGTATTGTTATGAGGTAGGGCCAAGGGCCGCCTGAATTTCTCGGAGCAGTGTGAGACTTCAGCTGGTACCTAGGTGCACTATTCATGGAACGTAGCATTTCGCAAGACGCCCCTGAGAATGCAACAGTGGACATGGATGTGGGGGCATGAACCTTCCAAGACTGTTAACACACGCAGCTAAATACTTCAACCTCCACGATGTTTGGAGAACAAGCCATTCGGCGTCCAGGGCAGGGGAGACGTGGCGGAGGCGAGCTTTGTCCGTGCTCGCCTAGTGTTGACTGGCCCAAGTGCCGCCATTGGTCCCAGAGCTGCAAGGTTGCATCGACAGAGGGTGCATATCGGCCAGACTAACCGGAAGAGGTTCCAGGAAAGTTCCGTCTTGCGAGTTGCATGAAGAACTATCTTCAGCAACAGAGGGAAAAAGCAAACAAGGACATGCACGTCACCCCTTTAAGTCCCTTCACGTTTCTCCTGCCAGAAAGGCTCGCCTCGGCCCTCCGATGGGGTTCCTCAGCTGCCGCAGGTCCTTGTTGATCCTCCCGTGGACAGAAAGGAGTCGTGGTCGTCAATCTTTTGCCCGATGTACAAATCCGTGATGGGTCCCATGTCCTTCTTGTCGTGATCTTCTCGTCTTTTCGCCCTTTTTGATTTTTATCGGGTCTCAGCATCCGAACGTCTTGCGATTCCCCAGATTTGCCTCGATAGCCGAATCGACCGGTCGTTGATAACGAGACCCGATGGCGGACGCGGGTCCACCTTCTCCTGAGGCCATCGCTGCGGCGATGGCCGCTGCCAGGACCTTCAACATCACTCTCTGGACGCTCTATGCGATAGGTGTTTGCACCACAGCTCTGCGGACTTACTCCCGCCTTCAGCAGGTTGGCTTTGCCAACTTTGAGACAGATGACTACCTCGTATGGGTGGCAATTGTAAGTGATATTGCTGTCCAACCTCAGGTAACCATACAGTGCTGACGATCGATGGTCACCGCAGCTTTTCTACACCACGCAAGCATCCTTGGGCTATCAGATTGGCAACCTTGCCCAAGGCCTGGCAAACAATGGCATGACAGATGAACAACGAATGCTGTTACTTCCCAGTGATCCAGAATGGGACAGAAGGGTTATCGGTTCCAAGATCCAGGTGATGGGATGGACCTGCTATTCGACTTTAATGCTTATTCTCAAGCTGGCCGTGCTTTTCTTCTACCTTCGGTTGACGGTATGGCTGCTCCATCTTGTTGCTCTACACAGATATTAACTCGGTCATAGAACGGCCTTGGACGTCGTTACCGCATGCGTGTGCACGCTGGTTTCGTCCTCATCATTGCAGGATGGCTCGCCTCCGTGTTGGCCGTCTTCGTCGGCTGCCTGCCGTTCCACAAGTACTGGCAGATCAACCCGGTAGGTTCTATCTAGTATATCACCACCTCACCCGTTGGACGTTGCTAACCATTGATGCTTGCCAATAGAACCCAGGTAACAGTTGTCAGCCCGCCGTTTCCAGCCCCGTCGTCTGGGCTTCCTTTGCTGCGAACGTGACATCCGACATATACCTGAT